AGGGCGGGCACCCAGGCTACAGAGAAACCTTATCTTGAAAAAACAAACAAACAAAAAAGAGTCTGTTCCTATTTGCTACTGAGTTAATATTTCATCATTTGAATTTATGATAGTTTGCTTAACCATTCATCTTTTAAAATATTTTGAGTTGCCTTCAGTTTGAGGCAATTATTAACATGCTTCCTAAATGTTTCATACAGTTTTTAAATGTAAATACAGGTTTTCCTTGTCTCTAAGGAAAAATACTTAGGGAGTATTGTTGAGTTATGAGCTCTATTCAGAAATATCTTCCTAAGAAACTGTCAAACCCTTTATTGTATGGAAATGAAATTAACAACCTCAACAAGTAATGTAAAATCTTGATGTTACTGCTTCATGGGTGAAGTATTGTGGTTTTGATTACTCATTTTGTATTTGGTGTATAGTAGTATGAACAGCACAAAGACATGCAAAAGGATGCTGACCACAATCACTTGGAAAATGAAAACCTCTTTTTGAAATTTAGGAAAATGGGGGCTGAAGAGATGGTTCAGCAATTAAGAGCATTGGCTACTCTTCAAGAGGTCCTGAGTTCGATTCCCAGCAACCACATGGTGGCTCACAACCATCTATAGTGGGATCTGATGCCCACTTCTGGCCTAAAGTTGATAGAGCACTCATACATAAAATAAATAAAAGAAATTTAGAAAAATGGCGCTTCATTTGTTTTAATTAAAATAAAAATTACATCACTTCCCCCTTCCTTATCCTCCCTCCAACCCTTTCAATGTCCTCTCCTTCCTCCTCCTCCCATGCCTTTCCTTTTACTCCCTCTCAAATTTATGTACTCTTTTTCTTTGATTATTATTGTTACACACACACACACACACACACACCACATGTATCTCACATAAATATACGAATACCACCTTCTGGCTCCATTCAGTGTTGCTTATATGTACATACCTTCAGTGCTGACCACTTAGTACTGGATAACCAAGGTGCCACGTTTTATGCTAAAGCGATAAGAACATTATTTTTTGGGAAGAGAGGATTGTGGTGATGTGGGAAGAGTGAGTCTAGGATAGATATGGCATGTGTATGGAGAAGACAAAAGGAGATGCAGTAAAGATCCTGGAAGAAGGCCCCTTCTAAGACTAAGAAGACACTTTCCACATGCCCCTCCCCAAGCTATTTGCTGAATCTCTCTAATCTGCTGTAAGAAATCGGGTGTAGAATTGATTTCCCAATAATGGATTTTGACAGCTGGTTAAAAAGCTGTATTTGCAGTTGAAATGTAATTTTTCTGTGCTATTTGAAAATTCAATGGTCTCTTCTCTACAGGAAACAATGTGTTACAAGCAGATAAGTGGAGGAAAGGTGAATTATGGGGCATCAGTCTCATAATAGGCTTCCATAAAATTGAGACAGATACTTCAGTGGTTTGTGTAAGTGCCAGAAATGAGAGGTGTAATTATGCCCACAGAATTATCACCCTGTCAAATGCAAGTACCCCCAACAGCTGTTCATCCTGGGAGTTCATGAAGTCTCTGCTCCCTTCTCCAGTTCCCCTCAACTGTTGAGAACTGTGGGGTTCTCTCTCACACCCTTTATTTTGGAAGAACTCGCAAGTTCCAGACTCTGTCTCTGGTCTCTGATTCATCAAGCCTCCAACTTTCCCCAAACCTTCTTCTTCACGTATCAGCTTGAGAACAAGTTTCTCTGCTTTGACGTTGGGCAGCACTCTTGGCTGAACTCGATGGCACACATTTGAGTTTTGTTTGAGCTACTTTTCCCACTTCATTGTGGTAGGTTTTCCTTGTTTTTCCCTGTTACTGCCTCCATTCTCAGCTTATTCCAACCACCTCTGCACTGATACTCACGGTGGATTATTTATTTAAAGCCATTTCAACTGAGTGTCCCACTGTTCGGTGAATGATTAGCACCTAAGGATGCTGTTCCGCACAAACTGCATTACAGCGTTGTTTCCACGGTTCAGTGCACCAGGGGAGTACTTTGGGAGTCAATTATTTTGATCTATTCATTCTAGAAATAAGAGATAATATTCTGTGGGAGGAAGAAGAACCTGGAAAAGGTCTGACAAAGGCTTGGTGTGTAGTACGTGGTGACTTGAGCTCCTCTTCTGTTGTTAACCCATGGCAGGACCTCAGAAAGGCCATTCCCAAGAGTGCCTTTTTGGGGGTTTCAGAAGAGGGAGAAATTATGGAGTCTGTTTCCTTGCACGCTGAGCTACGTAGCTCATCCACTATGCACAACTTGAGCAAGATGTGGGGAAATGGCTGCCTGGATTTCATTATGCAGCCTTCATAGTTAATTCTTGTAAGCAATAAAACTTGTGGAAGCTGAGTAAAATACTGATTAGGTGATAGGATATTTTAAAGTGGCAGGACTATATGTGAAAACTTGCAGAGAAGACACTTTAACCTCAGTTTAACAATTCTGCAACATTGCAAGCTTAGGTTAATCTAGCCCGGAGCCGGCAAGGTCACAAGAGTTTAAGGATCTGTCTCCTCTGACCACTCTGTGGCAGTGTAATTGATGAACCAATGATGTAACCCCAGCTTTGCTTAGATTCAGAGCAGAGGTGGTGCCGTGCTGTGCTTACTGCATTGTTAAGGGAACGGGAGCATGAGTGACTTTCCAAATAAATGTGCAAAATATGATTCGGGCATGAAACTGATGCCAATCCATTTCAGCTGGTATTCCAAGCTGCCTGGAAGCTACTGATCAGTTCCACTTGCCTTGTGTTGTCAGCACAGAGAACAATTACTATTTGGTGTGTGCGAGCAATTACCTGTCTTTTCTGTGTTTGTATTTGTGTGGCAATCAAAAGATAGCTAGCAGGACTCAGTTCTCTCTGTTCACCGTGTGTTCTCTGGGACTGAACTCAAATCATCAGGGTTGGCAACACAAGTTTTTATCTACCCTGCCACTCTGCCAGACTTCTTTTGTAATTAACTTTTAAACATTTATTTAGAGTTCTAATGTGTACTTCAGAGCACACCACAGCAATATGTGTTGGTGGATGCATGTCTACCCGAGGGCTTGTGGAGGCCAGAGGCTGATGTCAGGTTGGAAACCACCATCTTTACAATCACTTGCCATCCTGTTTTTGGAGTCACTGATTCAGTTGGACTGGCAGATACTTCTAGGAATCTGCTTTGTCTCTGCCTCCCCAGTACTTGGATTGTAGGAGCACACTATTGCATCTGGCCTCTGCGTGACCATTGGGGTCCTTTTGTATGTGTGGCAAACACCACCAACTAAGCCATCTCTTCTGTCCCCGATTATAGACCTTCAAAGAAGTTTATTCTCATTGCTAATGATACTGAAAATTCAGATTTTTTTTTGGCTGACAGACATTCATGAAGCATAACAGCATAAAAGATTTTTATTTACACAGACAAATTTAGCTAGTGTAATTTGGGACAAATTCACTGAATTTAATCATCAATAGAATAATCCTCATCCAGTTGGTCTCTACTAAATGTTAAACCAATCACCATTTACTTCATCTTTACTAAACATTGCTCCTCTACTCTGTCCTGTTGGTAGAAGGATCCAGTTTCTCTTAAAGTTTAATTAAACATTTAATTAGTTAATGTGTGCATGTGTGTAAGAGGGCATGCACATGGCATGGTGTGCATGTGGCAATCAGAAGACAGCTAGCAGGACTCAGTTCTCTCTGTCCACTGTGTGTTCTCTGGGACTGAACTCAAATCATCAGGGTTGGCAACACAAGCTTTTATCTACCAAGCCACTCTGCCAGACTCCTTTTCTAATTAACTTTTAAACATTTATTTAGAGTCCTAACGTGTATTTCAGAGCACATCACAGCAACAGTCTGTGCACCTCCAAAGCTTAATTTCCTGTCACTGAACTACACAACTGTTTTGAGGTGGAGCATGAGGCACACGGATCAGGGCTGGACTTGTATTAATGCCCTTGTTTAAACAGTCACCTTGCTGTCAGCTCAGGGACTTTCCTCCCATGGAAATCTGTAATGTAAATTCCTCACTCCCTCATCTCGTGCAGACGCCTTTAGGAGGCGGCCGCTCCCCCTCTACAGGGATCATCCCATCATCCCTTTCTTCTTCTGTAAGCCTAATGACTCTTGCACACCTCCAGTCTGAATCCTCTAAATCACAACCCTACAAACGAGAAATCAACAGTGCTTAGCATGGCTTCAGACCCTGAACCCCTAAATGTTAGTACACGAGAAAGTGCACGTCTATAAAGATGGAAAGAATGATTTTTTTTTAAAAAAAAAAAAAGGTAAAATGGGCACTCCCCCACAAAATAATCTTCTTATCTTTGATCAATGAGAGGAAATAGCACATCTAAGGACCAGCAATGTTCAGAAGACCAGAGATGCTCCACATGGCAGGATAAAAGGTAAATGGGAGAATTAAGATTCAAGAGGATAGGCAGTGCAGTCACAAGGAGTCTTGAATAGTACACTAAGGGGTTCTGACTTTATCTTACAATTTCTGAAGAATTTATGGCCGAGATCTAACATGACAAACTTGTCCCACCCTGTGGTGACCAGCATGGGAACATTTTCCTGAAGAGGAATGGGTGAGGAATAATTTTCCTTCTTATGCCTCTAGCCTCCGTGCTCCGCCTTTCAGTGACTCTGTGCAGTGTGCCTTCACAAATGAAAAGGCAGGCTGTTTTCTTTATGTTCCAATTAAGCTCCATGCTATCAATCGCTAACTCCATCCAGAGACACAGACTGCTTTCTTTAAAGAAGAGCTGCAAAAGGCTCGGGCTAATGTGTTTTCCAGACTCACGGTTTTCGTATGCAGGTGGCATTGATGGTCCCTATGGTTACACCCTCTGTGAGCCTGAGCACTTCCTTCAAGCAAGCAGAGGTGCTGGAAACTGAATAGATGGGGCAGCAGGAAAATGCCTAGCAAGCAGTTTCCTTGGGAAAAGTCATGGGGTTAGGAATGATGGGTGAAAGAATGACTTGAGAAGCAGAGGCAAAGGCAGGAGAAGGATGCTAAGGGGAAATGGAGGAAAAGAAGGTTTTATCCCCAAAGGAACAGAACAATTCATACCTATCCAGATCCCAATGAGCCTAGAATTCCTAAACCATTATGTGAATAGAAGGCATTTGTGATTTATTTTAATGCTCGAGGGGGTTTTCCACTGAAGTCTAGATGTTAAATCAGTTTGATGATATAGACTTCCTCATCTTTCTAGCCTTAGGGATATGATTTTTCAGCTTTTAAAAATCATGTTATTTCTTATATCTTAAATTACTAGGTAAAGAGTCATGGAGAACAACCTCTGTGGAATATTCAACGGGTCTAAGCCATTATTTGTGGATTCCAGCGTTCCAATAAGAAGACTGGAACAGAACTGTACTGATGGGTCAACTACAAGCCATCCTTTTCCCGAGTGATATGTTTGGTCAGTGGACGGTGAAGATCCCAGGGGGTAAGCATTGAAAGAAGCAGAAACTTTCTTCCTATCCCCAAACGCTGATAAATTATTAACATTTCCACTGCTTATGTTCCAGTACAAACTAAACACAACATTAACGGGGCTGTCAGGCTGACTTGACAACCTCTGCTTAGGTTTCTCTAAGGGCCTGGATTGTGTGAGGGAAAGCAAAAATGGGACCTTTAAATTGATCTTGTTTATCTAAATTGTTCATTTGGTTGGAGGTAAGGTGTCCTCGGAGAGCATGGCACAGAGGACAGAAGCAGGAAGAAACAGAGCCCCAAGAAAAGCTGTCAGAGACAAGTCTGCAACCTGAAGACTTAAACCTTGCCAGTTTAAACTGGCTCTGTGTATGGTGATAACGAGACTGGAGGACGGACAGGTTGAATCAGGAGACAGCTGGATGGACATGCTGATCTGCAGTAAGGCCTCTGCGCTGTGCAATTCCTAAGTCTAGACTGGAAGTGAAATGTAAAGACCTACACATTACTAGACCATATTTTGGAATAGAAACCATTTTAGTGTTAAAAAAAAAAACCCTGAAATTTGAAATAATTGGAAGACTCAGTGAATAATAATGGATCACCACAAGTTTCTATTTTTACACATGTACCATACCTCTATAAGATATTGTTGAGTCTCTTTGGGGAAGAAAGTAAAGGAAATTTGGTATTAGATTGGCATCACTTCTATAAATATAAGATTATTGAAAAACAGATTTTTTTTAAAGGAATCATGAATAGACTAAAGTCGAGCTTGAAAAAACAACCAAGTAATTAAGCACGAATCCAGAATGCTAAGTGCCACATCCATCCTTCTTGGGAAGATTCCCCCGGGTCCCTGGTACCTGGCCTTCATCCATGGTCACAAGTTGTCTTCCATCTAACCCAGCCTCTTTTAACAAGCCTTGGTCCATTCACTAAGAAAGGTAAACACCTGTCTGCACATGCTTTGGCCTTCATAGTCTTGACTTAGCATTTCTGTTTCCTCAAGTGAGAAGATGTATTTTTAATCTTTTCATCAGTGAAATCAATGCAGAAATTAGTCATGTCTATTCTTAGCACATTGTTTCAAGTGTCAGTTTCTTCAAGCATCTCACCTATGCACACCCAGCTTAACTGAAAGAAATATATATATACGTATGTACGTGTGCATATATATGTGTGTGTGTGCATATATATATATATAAAAAAATATTATTAAGTGGAACATATTTGTATTTAAGCAGTGGGAGGAGGGTAAAATACTATTTTTTCACTGCTTAAGGAAATGCATTGGTTAGATTAATAAAAGATCAATTAAAATATTTGCTAAACATTTTTAATGTAATTCAGTATAGCAAGTGTGCATTGAAAGTAATGAACACACAATGGGTGAACAAAGCTAAAACAAGCCCCTTATTTCAAAGAGCATGCCCCAGGCAAAGAGAAAATTTGAGTGTGCCCAGTGACATCTGAGAAGTCCATATGGGACATTGCAGGATTGTGTAAGAAGACAATAAGGCTCTGGCCAAGTGCACATCGAATCACTTTTCTCTCTTCACTGTTAACATCTCTAAATCAGGCAGAAACGGTGCTCTGCCATGGCTCTCCCCTGCATCAGATGTTTTTACATAGCACAAAGGATCCTTAAGCTGTTCTCCTCTAAACACAATGGCTCCACGACATCAGCTTCTGTGAACGCATTGCTTGCTTTTTTTCCAACATGTTATTTTCCCAGTGGCTATTTATCATCTGCTCTGTGTTTGCCTAATGAACTAAAAGTGCAAGGCAAGGGAATAAACCTGAGCAAAACAACAGAAAGGCAACCGTGAACCATTGATGTAGCAGGAGAGAAGAGGGAGCAATAGAAAGGGTGTGGAGGCTCAGTTATCTCCGAATACCAGGAAATAGCATCTGTGTTTCTCAACAAGGTAAGAGCACCAAGCAGCAACAAGGTAAGAGCACCAAGCAGCTGGCACAGAAAGGGGAATAAGTCAGTCACATTTAAAAGAAAGAAAATAAGAAAACTGTGTGTGTGTGTATGTGTGTGTGTGTGTATGTGTGTGTGTGTGAGAGAGAGAGAGAGAGAGAGAGAGAGAGAGAGAAAGGCTATTCATATTTCATGTCCACATACTGTAGCTTCTCTTATTAAGACCACAAAATAATCAGAACACTCCAACACCTAGAACTCCTCGTGCTAATTCACTCAGACTTCCATAACAAATACCACAGGGTGGAGGCTTTCACAACAGGAATGTGTCTGTCACAGTCTGGGGGTGATGCAAAACATCAGCAGAAAACAATATAAAACCTGGGGCTAAAATGTTAATTCCTGGGTCTGCATCTTGTAGAATCAGAGTCAACTGCAGTGACATCTGGAGCTGTGAGTGCCTTAGGACACCTTCGTGGCTGTCAAAATGAATAGACTATCCTGGGAAACCATCACATTGCACACAAAAGGGAGAGATGTAGTGGGTGGAAGGGGCTAGGAAGTAAGTGGATACAGAGGTGATGTGGGGTAAGGGGGTGAGTGAAACTGTCCAGGAGATGTGTTAGCAGTTGGAGACTGATGTGGGATTTCATTGGTCAATAAAGAAACTGCCTTGGCCCATTTGATTGGGCAGAATTTAGATAGGTGGAGTAAACAGAACAGAATGCTGGGAGGAAGAGGAAGTGAGCTCAGATGCCATTCCACTTCTCTCCAGGGCAGACGCAATCAGCCAGCGCCAGGTCAGACATGCTGAATCTTTCCCGGTAAGACTGGTGATACACAGATTACTAAATATGGGTTAGGCAAGATTGTGAGAATTAGCCATTAAGAGGTTAGAACTAATGGGCCAAGCAGTGTTTAAAAGAATATAATTTGTGTGTTGTCATTTTGGGGCATAAGCTAGCCAGGCGGCCAGGAGCTGGGTGGCAGGAATGCAGCCCACAGCTCCTTCAACAGGAGAAAAAGAAACTTTCTGTACTCATTTTTAAGTTATAATACACTGATAACTTTCTGAACAATGCTTTAGATCATGGGTTCTCAGTCTATAGGTGGTGACCCCTTTGGGGGATGGTCAAGTGGCCCTTTCACAGGAATCACACATCAGATGTCCTGCATATCAGATATTTACATTATGATTATAACAGTAACAAAACTACAGTTATGAGGTAGCAATGAATATAGTTTCATGGTTGGGGTGAGCACAGCATGAGGAACTGGATTAAAGGGTCGCAGCATTAGGAAGGTTGAGAACCACTGCTCTAGAGAGTTTGGAATCATATTAAGAAGAAATATGATAATATGGTTGTGTCTGTTTCCTTGTTTCTGTTTGAAAGTGTGGGATGATTTAATGTAGAATATTTTACCTTTTCATGCCTCCATGTTCCTTATGTAGAATGTCACTGACAAGTATTACTTCACAAAGTACAGAACCTCAGTATAATTTTTTTCTATTTGGAAAGCCACTGTAGCAGAAACACATACATAGTTCATATATGTAGACAGTTGACTTCATATATGTTGACAGTTCCCTGGCCATCAGATTCCTTGGCTGTAAAATGAGTATGTTGATGTGAACTCTGACCTTAAGGTCTTTGAACATCAAGAGTCCATGAATGTTAGGTGATCAAATTTTTGTGTCAACAATGCAGACATGTTAATCTTAGATAAAACTTTAAACGTTGTTTTCTTATTCTAATTTCACCATTTTACTTTTGTGTAGGTTTTAGATTTTATAAAATAGTTTCCTCCATTTTAAAGCATTTTTCCTTATCATACCTTCTACAAATAATTTTAGTGTCCGTACTTCAAATAGAAAACTGAAGAGAGGTCAGAATGATTAACTTCAAATTACACCACTGGTGGTGGCAGGGACTCAGAGCTACCTTTCTCACGTAAGGTCCAGTGTTGCTCTATGCTCCCTATCTGATGGTATGTCTTATTCACATGTGCATATCATTTTCAATGGAAAACAGGAGGGTATTTCTCAGACAATCATTTCCATTCATAATCATATATTGAATACTTGTCATATAGCCATGTTGAACTTCAAAGTGATTAATTCAGAATTCCTGCATGATCCCTGCTTACAAAGGAAATATGAGCTGAAGATTTTTATATTTACTCATCTTACTCTTTCTGATGTCTACTGCTCCCATGTACTGTGACACAAAAGATAGTATTTTCTTTGACATTATTTAGAGTTCACCTCCCAAATATACTTTGACATGAAGATTACAAAAAGGCAAAAATAAAGGAGGAAGTAAAGTATGTAATATTTTATTTCCTCTGCATGGCTTGCTGGTACTAATACATGGGAAATAGTTACTTTACAGAGCCAATTATGGGATAATATGGTTGATTCAAGAATAATTTTTCCTTCATTTAAGTCAATGGAGCATCAAGTCTTGCTGGCGTTAGCAGTTATCAAAATAAGAGCTCTAATGATAGCAGACATAATAGAAGTTCTGATGAAGCAAAGCAATTTTACAAACCGGAATAATACCTATCACTAAAATAAATATCTGAGATAGCCAACTTATAGAAAGAAAAGGTTAACTCTGGCTTTGGGTTATGGAAGTTTCAGGCCACTATAGATTGCCTAAAAGGAGGGAAATTGGTAATGGCCTGAAACCTCCATAATCCTAAACCAGAATAAACTTGGTTCTCACTATAGTCTTCTCTCTAAGTTTATTAGATCAAGGATTTATTGTAGTGATGGGAAGGCATAACAACAAGGAATGACCATAACTTGAGACAGGGTTTGCAATGAGTCCATAACATTGTAAACTGACATACTTTCTCATTAATCGTTTGTGAAATGTATTGAGAATAGCAACTTTCTGTTCAGTATCCCTACATACCGAACTTCCTAACTGCCTTTATTTCCAAACCATTCGGGAAAGACCATTACATTCCTGCTTATATTAATTTGGCAGCTGAAGTCAGAGAAGTAGTTTTTTAGGGTCTTAGGATCAGAGACATTGATAAAATTTGACCTCAGGTTTTGACCCAAAGGATACCTTGTATGAAAATTGAATTACTTACTGCATTTGCAGGAAACAGATTACATGTTTTTTCATTGCAGAAACAAAACCAAGAGGCATTTGTGCTAAGTTCTTAGACTTGAGAAAAAAATCCATGACAGTGTTCTGATTAAATGGTAGGGGTTACTCTATCAATATTCGCTCTTGTGATCACTAGCTCATGGAAATGACGATAACAAAGCGAGTTGAGAAAAAAGAAAATTCAGGTGACTATTTTGCTTGTTTTGCGTTTTTACAACACTGTGCACCTGGCTCTACATCCTTAATTGTTTTTATGTAATATCAGATTACATAAGACAGATCTTACATAATTATTGACCAGATCATTATATAGCCCTGTGTTTCCCTTGGACAGAACTGTGTGCTGCTCCTATGACTATAAAATACTCTGCTACAGCTTGAAAGAAAAACTTAATGAGCAGACTAGACAGAAAGTTCAATACTTTTGAAACCATAACTAACACTGATGATTTGTGGAGTGTCCACAATTCCTTTGAAAACAAAAACAATCTGTCCAAAGGAGACATACATTTAATCTCAATAGCACAAACATCTAACTCTTATTCTACTGATTTTAACACAGACCTGAATGTGTATTAC